TGGGCCATATAAAGTAGTCAAACATGTATTCAGTGAGTCTGTATTAAGCAGTCACTTGCCAAAGTCCCAGAAATCATTTCCTTTAATTACTGTAAAACTGCTGTAACCTGTATTAAGCAGCCACCTCTATCACACGGTTGGAGTCACCTTTTATGGGGTTCCAACAAGTTACGTTTTATTGTCTTCACCCCTATTAAACGGTCACTTGTTAACTTAACTTTGTCACTTGTCATTTTCATTGACGAAGTCACAGCTGTGCAAATAATAAAAATATTTTGATAGGGAAATAATACAATCATCTGACCACACATATCAGTCTAGCAGAAGTCATAGGTTTTATACCCATTTAGGGAATCTGAATGTTTCCTTCGATGTTCTATCGTTGTAGGTAAAAGCACCCACAATCAGAGAATTGAGCGGTTATGGAGAGACGTGTATCGTGACTGCCTTTCCCTATTCTACCAGATCTTTCAGTATCTCGAGATGCATAATATACTTGATGCTGACAATGACATCCACATTTGGTGTTTACACATGGTTTACCTTCCCATGATCAACCAACATCTAGAAACTTGGAAAGCTTCATGGGTTCAGCATCCACTGCGTACTGAAGGTAACAAGTCCCCGATGCAACTGTGGATTGGTGGACTGCATGCAACACAATTTGGCCAGGCTATCTTAAGTAATGCTCCAGATCCAGTGACAGAGGTAAAGTCATGAACTCTCCAAAAAAATCCTCATTTTCCATTTTACTTTAATGTGTAACATGACAATAATAACATAACAATAATAAATAAAATAAATAACTGTCATGTTTCCATGAACATGAACAGTCTAACAGCAACAGTATAAAATTAATATTCTTTTACATCATTGAAATTTATTATTTTAAAGTAGATCAATTTCAACTGACATCACAAAATTTTTAAGACTCTAATATCAAACCAGAACTTGATAGGTTTTGCAAATTTTTATCTTTCGTTGGAAAAACACATTACTTTATGTAATTACTTAATGCAACCGATGGGTCAATTCCTAAAGAGTCCATTATGGCTGAAAATAACTCACTCGTAAAATGCCTCATTGGGTGGGGCTCAGAACAGACATAAAATGTAACAAAATGAACTACTGTTCCTGAACAAAAACTTGCTTGAACTTCACATGTTGTGCTTTAATTTTTTTTTGGTTTGAGATTATACAAACCTATTTTCTTTTATTTCATAGTAACTGAACCGATTTGAAATAAATCAGAAATAATAATATAAATAATTGCAACAAATGCAATGCCTTTTTTGAATTAGACTTAAGAAAATCTTTCTTACTACAGGAGGAAATCAGTCAACATGGAGTTGATTGGGATGGTCCGGTGAACACAGATGGGGACAACTTAGTGGAAGTTCCGGATACTTCATGTCTACTGGATGATGACAACTTGCGGTCATTAAGACAGCGGATAGACCTCACAGCTGATGATGGAAATTATGGAATATCTACTTTCAATCAACTCATTGCAGAAGTATCAAACCAACTCCATTCATGATCAGAATAAATACAGTAAACACCCGCATAAAAGAACCTGTGATTTTCTGTTTCAGGCTGCTGTGTTTCAAGAGGTTCTTAAAATTGATTCTGGAAATGTTGCACAGTATGTACTACAAATTTGCTTTGATTAGTGAATGATTGACTCTGACAGGTCTAATTATGACATTAAACACTAATAATCAAACTGCTGTATATTGATCCAACCCTTCTGTGGGGGAGGTGTGGATATTTTCTGAAACTACACATTGTGCATTTGTAATGGTCCAGCACACATACTTAGATGTGCCAGAGTGCTGTCTAATCTTAAGTAATTTTTCTTATCATTTGTCAGGCTGAATTGTTTCTTATATATTAATCCGCTGTTTCTTTTATGCGGGTGTTTAATGTAATGATGTGTTCTTCTTAATTTATTGAAATGGTGGATGAGATATCAAAAATGATAGTCACTTAATGTTTCTTTCTTAATTTTGTAATAATAATCATTATGGTGATGTCTAAACAGAATGAACTGTAACTTGCAAGCCAACACCTACATGTATAATTTTGATTTGCAGCTGAATTTGTATAACTCACTCTTACTAAGTTTGAAAGTACTAGATTTCACAATATCAGTGTTGTGAAGAAATGTCAAAACACAGCTCTTGAATCTTTGCCAAATTAAAAAAAGGTAAATAACAACCAGTCGCCTGTGGATACACTAACTCTGTCATCACACAATCACACACAGTTAAATGACTTTGTTCCTGCGACACTGTTAATTACTCCTTCCATTGAACATTTAAACGTGTCGTTGTCTGGGAATTTCTTTGGCAATGTCAGACTTTGGAGACAGGTGGATGCAAAAAATAGCTGTGCCATCATCAAACTTGACTTGAATTGTCCCGAAACCAAATTCAGGTAAAACAGGTGATCCTGTTGCAAAAGTTAAAAATCGCTTTAGGGTTTCTTGGGACCCTCCCTGTAAGAATTTATGAGATAGTCATGTGTTGTTGATTCATCACTGCTCAAAACTGTAGGGAACTGAAGTGAACCTATGATTGAACCACTCTCCAAGACATTGTTGTCGTGCACAAACAACTCTTCAAACTCTTCTGGATGCCGCAGCATCTCTGTACCAAATCCTAGGGTTGCCAAGCCTTCTCGTAACTGGTCAAGCACGATCTTTGGCTTTCCTATGATGTCATGGATCATGACAGCTTGTATGACCCTCATCTGGTTTTCGCTCTATGAAATCCAAAAAAATGTTGTGCCTTTAATACACCTTGATCACGCAGCTACATGTACCATTTTGCACAAAAGCAAAACAGTTTACTTGCCTTAGTGAAAAACTTAAAGATTAATGGTTTAGGTTTGTCTGTTCTTGTCACCAAAAATTATTTTGCCTGTGTCCATGCATGGGGGTATTGCCCGCCTTCTCTCCCCAGGAAATGAGAGCAAGGACGCAATTGACAAAACCAGGGATACTGTAGTTACCGATAGCTATATGTATTATAACTACTGACTTAGGGAAACTGCTTAGCCCAGTGGTATGATTATTGTGCAGACCAGATATAGCAGAATTCAGAAAATATATGTAATGACTCACTGTTAGATTGAAAGTCAGCCCACATTCGGAGAGAATGTTGGTCGTTTCCTCTTCATCAAGGGACGCAAGTTCATCCACCGCTGTAATCTATAATAATAACAATAATAAAATATTTCTGTAAATAAAGTCATGTAACACTGAGTTTGGACTGGAACACATGGTGCAACATTACTGCACACAAAATTACACACAACATTGCATGCAAGCATTAAATTGCACTGGAACTGTGTCCACCTCAACATCCTTTGGGTGCACAGTTGCATGAAATGTAGCATTCTGATTACCAGTCACAGGACAACATGGGTAAACAGATAATCTTTTTTTTAATTTGGATGCTATTAACAGACACCCCACACACCTACACATACCCACAGTCATGTTATCTTAAAATTCTCAGGACTAAGTAAAAATCACCTTCTCTATGAAACTCCTAACAGGTGCTGAGCAGTCATCAACTGTCATGTTTTGGACAACTTCATCTGTTTTGCCAGTAGCTAGGTACCTGTACACAGAACGAGAAAAAACAGGAAACCCCAGTCCTGCAAGCAAAATACTGTGGACGATAATTGTCCCTATGAGTTTCATCATTCCCGATGACACAATATCAGAGTTGTAGATTGGACGTCTTGACTTTTCACCATAAAAGAAGAGTTCCGAGATTTCTTTCAGAAGTTGTGTAAAGAACTGTCTCAACACACCTCCCGTGTCTGCTGCAGGTTGACTTTTAAACACAATTCGAAGTTTCTTTTTGGGATCAAAGTCCTTGTCCTTGTAATAGGCGAGGGCATCGTTTAGAAGATCATCTTCCTCGACCTTGAGTTTTTCTTTCTCGACACTTAACTTTTTCTTTAGCTCTTCAATTATGGCTTGTAAGGAAGCTGGTGCATTACATGTATAAAAAGGTGATTCGAGGAGACCACTGTCATCCTCGTCATCTTCTGCCCCAGCTAGTGATAATGCAGCCTTTGTAAGTGTGCCATAGACCAACAGACTATCACGCAAACAGTCTGTTGGCTTGCTGGGAAACATTTCCCGCAACTGGATGATTTGGTCATCAGTGATGAAGGAAGGTCCAGCTAGAGATGAATCATCATCATCAGGGATGGTATCCTCAATCTTAGAGATCTTGGTGTTTCTGCAAGTCAAAACAGAAAATGCAGCTAAAAACTAATACATAATGTATATTATTGATAGATTATATTATTAATCTATTTTTATCATTATTTATCCATTATCATTATTAATCTATTTAATTAGTACTTACATGTATATTATATTATTAAATATATTTTGAACAGCAGAGTCTTGTATTTCATGTGCATAATCTCATTTCATTTTTTAGGTCCAGATTCTCAAGATACTTGAGCTTATAAATGATGTTGAATGTACATTGTTTGTGTAAGATGAAGGATAATAAAATATTGTCCAAAACTAAAATATATGAGGTACTTTATCTGGGTTATTGGTTCAGATTGGGATCAAGTTATCAGGATTTTGGCAAAGTTCTTTTTTTTTGTATGTTTGTGTCCTGATTTGAATTTGCACATGATTGAAAATTTGTTGGCTTTAGTGATTGATTTGTTCCTGGCCTGATTTGGTGGTTCATTGGTCAAGTGCATGTACTTATTAACATTAATATAATTTAACATTAATAATACTCCATGATTTTGATGGGACTCACTAGTCAATAATTTGATGAAGATCTACAGTGTAGTATTAAATAATACATGTATAAACTACTATGTGGACTAACCTCTCTAGGAAATCATCCAAGGGGGTTGTACTGCTGGATCTCTTTAAGACAAGGAGTCATGTTAATTTAAATGTGATTCAGGGAAAGACAATTGTTAATTATTTTATGCTGAAATGTAAA